TGACAAAGGGGGGGAGGGTATTAAGAGTGAGTCTGCTTCCTGCCTAAAAACGTGTTTCTCCATTCCTGATCCAGGGAAATATAATATTCTGCCTTTTCAATATTTCCCAGGATGTTTCATTTTTCTAGGAGAGGGGTGGGTTTTAAGTTCCTACAGGATATAAGGAGATGTCACCTCAGATTCATTGGCCTGTAACACCCTTTCTTAACTCAATGTCCTACCAAGTGTCTCAGAACTGAAATCTCCAGAACTTCCATCCAATACAGGCATGGAGTAGGCTACTTAGTCTTCATATCCCAGTAGCCTTGAAAGTGCCACTGGGGAAAACCTGATCATGTAGCCCAGTACTGGTGGCACTGGCTGGAACCTAAGGAGGAGGCCTTTTCTAGCCTGATCACCTAGGAGGAATTTTAAGGGAAGATAAAACTGGCATTTCCTACCTGCAATTGATGTGCTACAATCAGGTATCATCCATTCCTCTAAGACAGTGGTTCCCAAACTTGGCAACTTTAAGACTTGTGGACTTTAACTCCCAGAGTTCTCCAGCCAGAAGAGCTAGCTGGAGAATTCTGGGAGTTGAAGTCCACAAGTCTTAAAGTTGCCAAGTTTGGGAACCACTGCTCTAAGATGCTAACCTCATGAACTAGTCTGAGAACTGAAGCCTGGTGTCAGGCATGCCTCCTTCAATATCCAAGAAAGAAAAACCTCGACTCCATGTTAATAGGGATAAAGTACTTTTACTAGATATGAAGTGAAAGCAGCAAAGAGGAAAGCAAGATCTGAGCCAGAAAGGCGAGAACATGTACATATCTAACGTTTACCCAGCACCCTCCCCCCAATTCCCCAACACAGTATCCAATCTGCAACTCTCTAAGGCAGTGTTTCTCAACCTTGGCAACTTGAAGATGTCTGGACTTCAACTCCCAGAATTCCCCAGCCAGAGAATACTGGCTGGGGAATTCTGGGAGTTGAAGTCCGGACATCTTCAAGTTGCCAAGGTTGAGAAACACTGCTCTAAGGTGTCATATGGGGTGCATCTTCAAACAAGTTGGTATGTGAGACGGTTGGCCTTAACCAAGTCCAAACATCAGCCACCAACAAGCGCAGAAGATGGTGAGAACAAGACTCCTCCAGTACAATATTATTCCCTTCCCCAATACCATGCCCTCCCCCCATTCCTATGGCAGCCAATAGTAAGCAAGTAACCAAAACAGAGGCTGACACCTGGCACCTGGTTGAGACCCACTGCCCTAGACCAATATAAAGGCAGCATCAGGGGTGAGTTCCGGCTTCTTTTACTGCTGGTTTGCTCAGGGATGCACTTTTGGGCGCGCATGCACGCTTTGGGAGCACACACGTATGCACAGTAGTCAAAAAATTGCTTCTGTGAATGCGCAGAAGCAAAAAAACAAGATGGCGGTGCCTACGATAGAACCGGTTCGGGTGTGGGGTGGCTGAGTTATTACCTACTCAGCCGAACTGGTAGGAACCCACCTCTGGGCCGCATCAAACCAAGTTCTTGGGCCACTCCCATCTCCAGGATCCAAGTCTAGCAGCTGACACAAATACACTTCCAAGAACCGATGCTTGGCTCATCTCCCTTACCCAGCAATCCAAGAGTTAACGTCACTTGCACGCAGGGAATGCAGTCTCCTTCCTCTGGGCACCGAAGGGTGTTCCTTGAGTTCATCTGAATCAGCCCCAGGATGGGATCTAGTTCTGGATCTGATTCGGCTTCACCAGGCATGCATAGAACATCTGTCTTTTCTGAAATCAAGGTTGGGACGGAGAGAGAAAGTGAATGGGGGCAGCAGAGGAAGCCCCCTTACCCAATCTAACTATACTTTGCAGACTGAAGAGTGGGGGATGGGGGTTTCAGCCAAGGTTGCTTTCCACATGGTTACAATGCAGGGGTGGGCTGCTGGAGGTTTGCAGGGGTTCGGGAGACCCTCTAGCTAAGATTCTGTGCAGTTTGGAGAACCCCCAAATCCCACTCCAGGCTGGCCCCGCCCTTCCCAGGAGTCCCCATGCGGCCCATTTTGGATGCAGGTAAGTGCAGGGTGCATGCGGAGCCTTGGAGAGGGCGTAAAACAGGCTTACCAGAAGCTTGGGAAGTCTGGAAATGGGCCTCCAGAGTCTGGGGTGCAGGAGGCTGACTAGGCCATGCCCACCATGGCCACATCTACCCAGCAACCGGGCGGAGAATCTTTTGCTAAATTTTGTGAAGCCCACCCCTGGAACTTGCAAGATAATGTTATGCAGAAGAGGAGGAACATTCTCAAACATTGGAGCCGAGGGTAGTGGTGGAACCCCAAGAATTTAAGAGGTGCCTCCGAATGGCATTTATCTGATATGCCCGCCCTCCCCCACCCATTTTCCCTCTCATTCTCCAACATGTTTTATTTGTGTGATGAGGAGGCACTACGTATTACTGGCATGCAATCACAAGGTATAATCTATATTCTCCCTTCGGGTATGCACTCGCACTAGAAAAAGAGAAATTGCTTGATCATCATGATAAAAATGCAAGCAGCCCATTCTTAAGAGCTTAATTAATCCTGTCTGACTAGTTTCCAGAGAAACCAGAGAGGTTGCTATCATGAACTCTGAGGAACCACACGAAACTGAGAAATCAGTTTTCATCTCTGTTGATTTGGGATGAGCTTGGCCTTGCTAAAATGCCAAGAAAGGAAGAAAATCAGGCCCCACCCAATATCATTATTGATATGACAGGGGTATCCAGGGGTTGGATACCCCTGCAATATGGTGTTTTTAACTTACATGGCACCATAATTCTCTCCATTCTTGGCCAGCATGACTAAGATGAGGAATGTTTGTCTGCCACAACTATAATGCACTAATTCGAGGGAAAATGAACTTTCACACACACACACATACAATAACAGAACATATACTTACTTAGCCGACAGCCCAGGCCCTGCAAAAGGACAGAGAGGAAGGAGCAGGTTCAATGACCGGGATATATAAACATATTCAAAATAAACCCATTTTCCCAGCTCCCATTGCACAATATAGCCAGCCAGGCTAAGGTTAAATCAACAGATTGACTTTACTGATTTACTATCAATGATTTTTAAAAAAATAAGGAAAAGAATTGGTTGCACTAGGGAAGGTGGATAAAATCATCTAGTCCAGCTGAGATTATCCTTACAACCCTCCAGCATTTGGCTTGCCTGGGCTGAATCGAGTGAAGAAGATTTGTCTATATAAAATATAGCTAAAATGGTTTTTTTTTAATTTTCATTTTCCTACAAGTAACTGCAGGTATATCATTACATTTAACCAGCACTATTTTGTGTTGTCCAATATTATATCAGTTCCTCTTGCCATCAACCCACGACAACTGTCATTTGCTCTTCTGCTTTCCACATACCAAATTATACCCTATCCGCCGCCATCCTGCTTCCTCTCCCTCCCTCCTCCTCTCTCCCTCCTTTCTTCCCTCTACCATCCCTCTCTTCTTCCCCTTCCTCTCTCCTTCTCCTCTCTCCTCTTTCCACTCCTTCTCTCTCTCCTACTCTTTTGAGCCGAGGTGGCGCAGTGATTAGGGTGCAGTACTGCAAGCCAATTCAGCTGACTGTTATCTGCAGTTCAGCGGTTCTAATCTCACCGGCTCAAGGTTGACTCAGCCTTCCATCCTTCCGAGGTGGGTGAAAT